ACATGATTTCTGTTCCTTTTCGAATGTTTTTTCGTGGCATCTGTCCGGCCATTCGCAAAGGTTGGCTCGTTACACTACTAGTTTTTAAATATCCTCTGTGAAGTTCAACATTTTTGTAGGTATCGCTTTGTGGCCGATGTGAGGGAGTCAGCGGCTGAATGTGCTGAGATGGAAGCAGTGAGGATCGAAATAGAGCTGGACAAGCATTCACTGATTAGCCGTAACGATGGCCAACGTGAACGCGCTCCTTCCGATTCATCCCAGAATATTGCAAATTGTGTTATTAACGCATCTCCTCAACAAGCTCTTTGTTCCGTTCGTCGCCTTAGTTTCAATTCATTCGATAGCGGTGTGGTTGAGGAGAGCTGCGAATCATTTTCCCATTCAGCTTTGTCGCCTGTTACGTCCTTCCTAACTTCAAAACACCTCGAGGCTGCTATTTAAGCTATTGCCGTTTTGCGACATTTTATCATTTTTGGTGGTCTTAATTTCGCATACAGAGTTTTCCTTTCTTTCTTTTTTTTGAACCTAGTCCACACATCTTTAGCTTTAAAAACGCTGCGTTTATTTTGAGTGGAGGCATATGTTATGGATTTTCTGGACTCGTATTTTGTGGATAAGAAACAGTTCGGTCCATTTATGCTCCTCTTGCTCCCTCTGTCTTTTTCAGTCCGTCTTAAGGTGCTGATTTTTGTTATCCTTGTGTTCACTTCGTGATTTGTTTACATCTCGTTGCGCTGAATCTTTCATTCATAGTCATGCCTGTGATTATTTACGTTTTGCACTGCTGTGTGATAGTGATGCTGCAGGATGTTTTCCTGCAGTGTTGGTATTCCAGGATGTATTGCAGTAATATCTGTTGCATAAAAGACAATTATCTTACAGCGACTTGCAAATGCCTGGCATTTATCTCATAACAGTGGTTGTGATAGTCCTTTATCTTTTCATCCATGCAGCATTTTCCAATGGTTTTGTTTGCATTAGTTTTTTAAGATTAAAAAAAGCTCCGGTCGCTTGCGAAACTGCATACTTACTAAAAAACGCTAAATGAATGATTGAAAGTAGCAGTAATTGTGGCACTTGTTATTGCGGCAGCAGTGATGCTAGTTGTAGTAGCTACAAGAATGTGATCACTCTGCATGAGTGCTCGAATGTTACCTCATCATTTACCTGTAATATCGTTTCAGTATCTCTCATTATTCTCCATTTTACCAATAGTCTTGAGCCGTCATTAGAATCTTAACTGTTTGTTGTTTCTATGTGTCTGTGTATGTATGTGTGCATGTTTGTGTGTATTTATTAAGCGGTATTTGTGTTTGTCCTCGTGGGAATGTTTTTTCACCGCTGTCTTATTAAATAACGAGATGGTTGGTGTAAGATTGGATAGAATTGGTGTTGTTTCGATTCTGAAGCCAGTTACGAGGAATGGGGCAAGTAAGAGGCGCCGAACTGGTTCCATAACAGGAGGCTGGGACATCAGCTGTTCCTTTGCATCGTTTAAAGCCTCTTTTCTTGCTATGCTTATTTTCTGCTTCAGGCGATTTCGTTTAATGCTACATCATAGCACCGGGC